AGATAACAACAACAACACAATTAAAAAAATTTTTTTATTAAAAGATCATTTTGGGGGGGTTCTTACAACTTTTATAACAATCCATACATCAATTGTATCAAGATATTTGTACATATGTAGCCATTATCATTTTCTAAACATTTACTTTCTATCTGAGCCCTTGGTATCAGCTCCTCTTTTTTGCCTCCCTCCTCATCCTGTGACCCCTTGATAAATCATAAATTATTATTGTTTTTTCTTCAGCGATTGTGGTGGGAGGGTGAGCATCACAGAATGCCAGGTGGTTAGAACAAAGTGTTTTTGCGTTGAGGGAGGGTTTGAGCAGGGGCCCAAAGTCAGTCCACTTCCTCAATGAATTGCCATATAAATATATGTACATAGGCCAATACCTCTATTTTTATGAATTAATATAGTTACATAAGTGCATGCCTATTATTTATGCCTCTAGCCATAGTTTAGCTTCCTAGATCTTTCCTCTGTTTTACCTTCCTCCTCCCCCACCATCACACTCGTCCTTCTTCTGCCTCTTAGTAATTCCTCTCAGCTAGATTGCCATTGCTCCAACACACCAGGATCTCTATGTCCTCCTCATTGTTGATTTTAATTTCCTAGTTGTTCCCCTGTCTTTGGCGTTGTTTGCTCACAGCTTTTCCCCTCTTCCTCTCCCCAAGTCCCTCTGGAACTGTTGGTCCTGCTGCTTTCTCCTCGGACTTGCTTCGCATGCCTATCTTATATTGATAGGCAAAACAACGATGATAGAGACAAACAAAAAGAAAACAAAAGATTGAATAAAAAGAGAAAAAAAGAAATAAATTAGCAAAACCAAAAACCAACTCCCCCCCCCCCAAATATACATAATTCCGGGTCTATCTACTGACCTTTATGACTATCTGGTCATATCCACTGGTCCTGGGGGGTTCTGGGAACTATCCCTTCTAGCTTGAAGTCTATCTGGGGGGCTTCTCAGGGGTTTTGGGGCTTTGCTTTGCTCCTGTTGCTGATCTATTATTTTCCCTTCTTTGTTCTGCCCCATTGTGGGTTTGTTCAGACAGGACTCACTCCTCACCATGTGTCCCCATTATTGTCCTCTGTCATGGTATGCTCTAGTGAGGGGACATCATGTCTCGAGCTGTTGTTGGCCCTACAGTCCTCTCTGTGCCTTAGCAGCTCCGTGCTGGGATGTCATCCTCAGGGCTTGGTGTGCCAGTATGGGGTCTAGTCCCTTGCTCTCTTTTTCCTTCTTGGTATGTGCATGGAAGGCAGAGAGTCCTCTTCGCCAACCGGTAGGTTTAGTGTTGTCCTCTATAGGACATAGTTCTAGGTGTGTGTGTGTGTGTGTGTGTGTGTGTGTGTGTGTGAGAGAGAGAGAGAGAGAGAGAGAGAGAGAGAGAGAGAGAGAGTTTGGCTCTCAGAGAGGCCCTTCAGACCTCTCTGTTCATGAGTTGCTCCATGTGGTTACGTTGCCCACAAGGTTTGGCACACCGTGGTAGGGTCTGTACTCACTCCCCTTTCTGTGGAGACATAAACAATAGCCCCCCGTGGATTAGTGACCTACTCCCCCAGTGGCATCATTTCCCTTTTCCCCCCTTCCTTTTATCCCCCCCCCCCAACTTTCCTCTTCTTTGTGTTGGAATAACATGTACACCCTTGGGTTTGGTGTGTGTCCCCACCTGATTGCCGGTACATCAGCTAGTAAAGTACGAAATAAGTGGCTTTTCTTCTATACCTACTGTGCTGATTATACTTACCTCAGTAGACTCATGAACCCTTGATAATTTATAAGTTATTATGATTTTTCATATTTTACACTGTCCAATGTCCCCCTTCATCCATTTTTCTGTTGTCCATCCCCCAGGGAGGAGGTTATATGTAGATCATTGTAATCCTTTCCCCCTTTCCACCCCACCCTCCTGGTAACTGTTTTCTTCTTCTTGTAGGATAGGAGGGTATTATAGATTTTAGTAATAAGTCCTTTGTCTGTTCTCATTGCTGAAAATCCTCTCCCAATCTGTGGGTTCTCTTGTTCTCTTAGTGAAGTCTTTCAGTGCACACAGGTGTTTTATTTTTAGTATATCCCACTTGCTGAGTTCAATTTCATCTGTGTTTGTACCCTTTTCTATTACAGTTTGCCTATGTATTTCCTGTGCCAAGGTTCTTAGGTTTGTACTGATTCCTTCATTGATGGTTCTGATAGTTTGGGGTTTTACTTCTATGTCTATGCTCCATCGTGAGTTTTCTCTTGTGCATGGGGTGAGTTAAGGGTCTTGTTTCATTTTTTCTACAGGTGGATATCCACTGTTTCCAGCACCATTTGTTAAAGAGGGTATCC